GCTGTAAGAGCTTTGTAAATAAAAAAAGATGTGATACTCTGTGGATATGTATCCTTTACGGTTATCCTACGTGCTTTAAATACGGAATATTTAAAATTTATTTCAGCATTGAAACTGATTTCCTGTTTACCCTTACAGGTTATTTATTCATTTCGGGTAAAAACCATATGTTAAACGATATTTCCACTCTAAAACGCCCATGTACATTTGTACAAAAATAATACTCTGAACTTGGAACTTGATAGCAAATTTGATATCACTAAAATAAGGTCCAGAGGATTTACCTTGGAAACTATTACTGCTGAAAACGAATTATTTTTATTTGTTGTGTATAACCAGTTAAGTTTTTGTTGAATAAGAGTATAACTTTTGTTAAAACTTATGGTCACGAATTTATCATTAGCTTTGAATGATAAAACATCATTTAGTTGTTAAAATAGAAAATGTAATTTATTTTGTTATTCTGGTAACATGCTTGTAGTCGACAATAATATTGTTATTGTTATCATTATATAAACATTGATGTCGTCACATCTTTAGACTGTTGATACGTGCCTTTGCTACGCCAACAGGGAAATGTAAAAGGGATCGTTGTTATATTTTTCTATTCCTTTGGATTTGAACCAAATGTGATTTATAATTACATAATACATAACAAATGCGTATCCTTGGCTGGGCTTGTCGAGATAAATCACTGCACATAAGAGTAAATTATAAAAATTAATTACTTCACGGTCAGGAATAGCAAAGATAACGAAATCCATGAGAAGTGCTTTGGGTGTCGCCATCAATACCACAGCCATGTCGCTAGGCTCATAGACGCTTAGGACAGCATATTTTTTTTCAATTCATCCCTCACTCTTTCTTTCTCTCTCATTCTCTGTCCCCAGCTTAGTTGTCATACACACATGCACATTTACATTTGTAATATTACACAGTTAACGGATTGAATGACCATTAAAAAAAAAAAATAAAGAACTAATTATACACTTATATTAATATATAAACATCATAGTCGTCCAATCACGGTCGACATCGTTTTTCACACATACTGCATATAATATAATAGTGCACATATACTCTTCATATATATATATATATATATAAACGTCGTTGTTTCACATACAATACGTGTCATACGCATATATTCTACAAACATACTAACTCATAGGCGTTCTGATAATCGCAAATCGTTTGCTGTGCGGTACGAACAAGGGTCACACGTCGCCCCGGATAGGTGTGAACCGGACGGGATAAATTATTGAAAACAAAAACAAAATAAAAAATTTAGTCGCTATTGAATATTCAGATTATTATAAAATAATTTTTAATTTTTGTGGTTTTATATTTCTTAAAATTACATTGAATAGTAAAATATTATTATTGCATTTATTAGTTATTTGCTTTATTTTATAAAAGTTTTGTTTTTATTAATATAATGTGAATAAAATACAAAGTCGTAATAGGTAAGTATTGACTGAATTAATGTTAAATTTAAAAAAATAAACAAACATGAGGTTAAATCTTTACATTATTAATTTATTTCTTGCTACTTGTTCAAATGAATTTTCATTTAATGCTTTTAAACAAATTTTAACCATTATCGAAATAAATTATAACCAAATTAGCAAAATTAGATCATCTCTAAAAAATGTTCTGCCTGATATTATATTATATAAATTCAAAAAAGAAAATTATTATTTAATCTATTTTAATAATTTCTAGAGCCATATACCTAAAATACCACCTTGGTAAAGAACATGGTAGAAAACAACTTAAAAAACTTAAGGTCTGCTGGCAACTCTGATAACGATGTTTACAGCTGGTAAGTATACATTGATATGAATTATTAATATAGAGTAAACTACATGATTCTGATTATACTATGTCCAATTAATTTGAATTTTATCGAGAGATAAATCAATGGTGTCCAGTATTAACATTCTCGTAATAAATTTTACTTTTATAATTGTAAATTATAATAATTGTAAAAGGCAGGGTATATATAATAGCAGGGTATTATTTATAATTTAATTTTTGTGATTTTTTGAAAAGGTAAATTATTTACACCATTACTTGATATATAGAAACTTAAGAAGTTATAGGCACATAAATGGGAATAAGCCATTAAAAGTCTCTATGTTTGTGACATAGGGCCGTAAACAATATTTGCCTAGATCCACAAATTTAGCACGGATATTGATTATATCAACAGATCAGTATTTTTCAATGCGACTAGTTTTAAATCTATTGAATTATTATTTCGTGTATACATATTATTTTAATTTGTATATTTTTAATCGTAAAAAAATTGTTCAATAATATTAAGTTCTTGCTCTGAAAAACTAGTCATTGTTTTTTTAGTAAAAGTATTTAATACCATAAATGATTTTTTAATTTATTATTGGAGTTTTCTTTGACAATATACTTACTTTCTTGAAAAAACTAAGAATCTTAGTAAAAATGTATTCAATAGACTTTTTAATGTTGGAATTTCTTAAAAAAAGAATTATTAATTATCAACTATTTTATTCACATTTATTGATGTTAATAAACAATTAAAATCAGTTTGTTCTGTTATTGATTAAAGTTAACATTAGTTTTTTATTAGTAAAACTAAATAAATTTTCATATACATGATGATAAGTACAATTGTTCCACTAATATTATTAAAAAATATTTGGCAAAAAATTAATTACTATTGTAGTATTTGTAAATTTTATATTTTTCATATCATTATAAAAATATCATGTATCAGAAATTACATTTTTTTAAAGATCTTTTATAGGTCATTCCCAATGTTTTGTCAAACCTTATAATTAGAGAACAAATTTATATGTATTTATAAATTATGTCTGAGTAATTTTAAAAGATTTTGCAAATTGTTGTGGGAATATACAGTAGCATTGAAATATTTTTCGTTTTTGGGGGATTATACTTGCCTTATCTCTCCAACACTAAACCTCAGTTAGAACATATAACTAACTTTTAAGCCTATTAATACAAATTTGCACTAGCACATGTTTTTGGAATAACACCATTTAATACGTTTTGTACTAATAACTTCTGTTTCAGCAAATATTTTGTATTACTTTTTTTATAAAATAATTTTAAAATATTTGAATTATGTTAAAAGCATAATATTTATTATTTTTCTCTAATAAAAACAAATATATGTCTTTATATAATATATTTTTTAAATATTTCTTTTACAAAAATGTTTAATAAATCGATAACAATTTTAGAAAGAGTAATTATTGAGTTAGAAGTATTTTAATACATACAGTGAGTATATAATACTATTGGAGTATACGTCATAAAATTACACCAGACGAGCTGTACATGTTCGAGCTACATACCCACTCGATGTATTAAATTGCTTGTGACTAAAATGCTTTAAAATTAAAAAAAGTAATAACATTAAAATGTATAATCAAAAGTGATAAGAGTTATCAATTAGATCTGTTCCACCTTATGCATATATATATATCTATATATTAATTATACTAAATATATATGTATAAATAAAAAAATAAATAATATTTCTTTACAAAATTAATATACTTGTTTTAAGTTTTCTTAATAAGTTATATTCATACTTCAATTAGATTGTCCTGTATATTCAATTATTTTTATTCATTTGAATTATTAAATATATATTAAGTGATTTTCAAAATAATTTAAATGGCATGTAATGATAATTTTATATTAGAAATATAATGAAGCATAAATATTTTCAATAAGCAAATTAATTAACTCGATTCATTTATTCAGATAGTTTATATGTCATTTATATTACTTTTCATTTTAGAATATATTTATAAAAAACATTAATGATAGAACGGCGTATTTTATAAAATAATTATTGATTTTTTCTAAAAATTAAATTTATTTTAATAAGATTAAGTTCACTAACTATTTTGCTTGAGATTTCTATAACTTTCTGACAGAAATGTACGCGAATTAAATAAACAAATGTTTGAATCTTTAATGAAATTAAAAGCGAATTCATCTCCGCTGGTTCCTTGTGTATAAATGCAAATTACATTTTTTTAATTAAAACAGTAATTTGTACTTTATATTTTAATCGTGTAGAATTTAAGTTTATGTCAATTATAATATTTATTTTAAAATATGCCGTTTTTTTAAAAAACTGTGAAATTCTTAGTAGGGATGTTTTAATTTTTTTTTTTTTTAAATTAATACTTTTTTTTTAGAAAACTAAAATTTTGTTGAAAAAAAATTGAATTTTAGCACTTTATTTCTGTTTGTCATATATAATTTTCACATTAAAACGTTTAGTAAAGTAAAGGAACATATTTAGAAATTATGCTATTCAATCTATTAAACTCTAGTTCTTAATTTAAAATTAATGATATTTTATTTTTCTAAAATAAAATAATTTTTTTTCTTAGAAAGAGGATGGTAAAAAGTTTTTTTATATTTATTCTTTTTCCGGACAAAATCTTGAGGACGTAGAAATATTGTTGGCTTTTAGTTTACTATGATTTGTTTTTATTTTTTTATGACAATTCGTATAAAAATTTCGAATAAATTATATTAATACCATATTATACATTTTTCAGTAATCTACTTATATAAAATAATACTATAAAAACTGCATATAAAACCATGTTTAGACATTTTATTTATTTTTTGAAATTTAAGGTAACTAAATAGTAACAATTTTTTTTTATTGTATAGAAATAACTTACATTATAAATTATAGTCATAATAAAAAAAAATTTAATTAAATTAGTAGTATATAATTTATTTTTTTATTTTCTAAAACTTAGATTTAATTTTTGCAAGTAATAGTAATTTAAAACTGACAGTAAGTTTATTTATGAATGATACATCTTAAAGATATCGTTACCAAAAGTTATCTTTTATACAAAATCATTATAACTTTTATAATGAAAATATTTTTTTGGAATGATGTATCAAGAATGTATTTAAAATTTTCAAATAATCAACTTGATAATATTGATGGTACAATAATATTACTTAATATAATATAATAATTATAATATCCATTGTTGTAATTAAAGATATTTGTTACTTAGTAAATACTTAAGAAATATTATTAGATCTGTAAATACAAAATATGCACTTTTTTTATAGACAAACAGAGTTATTAGCCTAGACTAAGTATTTTTTTTTTAATATTAAATAATTTAAACTTTTGGGTCGGTGTAGCCCAGTGGGTTGGGTTGGTGTCAACGAGATTTTTCTTGTCATTTTCTCATTAGTGGTGTCTGATCTCTGGCGTATAATACCAGTCCTGTTAATATAAAATAAAATTTGTTTAATATTCAAAGAGAAAAAAATGTATTTACAATTATCTCACTTTATCTTAAATAAAAATAATTATAAGTCTACATGCTATTAATTATTAAATATTAAATTATTAATTAATTATTATATACTAAATGGATACATTAATGATGTGATGTGTTTGTGAGCCACTGTGATATTATATAATAGTTAGTGGCCCACAACCACAGAACTTCGATATTGATGTCCAGATATCATCGAATTTTCTTCAAATCGAATTTGATTACGGAGACATCAATATAAGTTGCACTACGGGCGATGTGATGTGCATGTGGGCTTCTGTGAAAACGCAATTGACTAAAAAACAATATTTGGAACGAGTGGCCCACAATCACAGCACCTCCGGCCGTTAGTGAATTGATATTCGGAGGACAGTATTAACCACCATGATGATCAATTTCAAAGAAATCAACGAACACAACAAAGCATTTTAATGTAATGATTGCGTCATCGATTTACTATGACAGTTATACTCATTTATACTGTCATCAGCGTATACAAATCGTCGTGTGACATTTTATAAGATTTATTACGACTGACAATAGCTTGTTTATCTGTCACTATTATGGCGAATTACTGGAAATCAAAGGTAACTACAATAGCTATTATTACTATCTTGATTTAGGTTAAAAATATTTATAGCTTATAACATTTTCGACGAATTTACGAGTCCTTCTAAAAATGGTCGTATGTTTTACTAAAGATACTGAGAATTAATGCGCAAGAAAATCAATATAACTTATATTCAAATTTAACAGTTTACTATTAAAATATGTTTCCACGAATTAAGTATCATTACTCAAATTCCAGACGCCCATCGACATAACCATAATTTCCAATGTCGAACAATGGCTCATATAAACAATGTAATTATAATTAAAAGCAAAAAAATTGAATGCAGTGGTGTAATTGACACTATTTCATTATTTTCTCATTGGCGACAAGTTAAAAGAGATAAAACCTAGGACTTATTCTTTAATTTCATATTTTTCTTAGTTTTTTTTTCATATTTATAGTGGTTATGTAAAAGTGACATAATATTTTTATATTTTTTGAATCTTTATAACATTTTTTATCGATGTTTTAAATAATACCAACATAAACATGAATAAAAGAAAAGTTATATAGAAAAATTAAGCTTTAATTTTTATAAAATGCTGTAAAATTAACTTCAAAAATCCATATCAAAGGTGACACTTTACAGAATGATTTTAAAATTTGCAAAAATTATCATTATTGTGGTTCTATAAATTTACTAATGGGATATTTAATAAAAAATGTTTGTGAAAAATAGTCATTTTATAAATACTTAAATATTAAGGGTATATTCGGAATCAGTCTGAAAACACTTTTCGAACACGAAAATTTTTTTTAAATATTTTGAGCTATGTAATAATTTAATAAAAGTGTTTCTTGATGGATCTTTTTAAGTATTTTATTTCTGTCATGTCAGTATCTTACATATAAGTCACCGATTTTTATTTCTTGTAAAAACAAAAGAACTAGGAAGCATTTACTTACAAATTCATGCTACAAATAACAGTTATTAAATAACTTTGTTCCTTATTTATTTTTACCAAAAATTGATAATTAATCATCGTCTAATTAACAGAAAAATTTAATTTTACTATTTCAAATTACTTGTTCATAAAATTACTGAAGTGCAGTTAGCCAGAATCATCAAAAGATTTCTATTATTTAAAAAGGTGTAATAAAATTATTTATGTATACTAATTTAATATGTTTATACAGTTTATATATGTATTTATAATAACGTGTATTAATGTCGAAAATCATTATTAAATTGAACTACTTTTATTTTAAAGTATGCTTAATATAAGAGCATACTCAATAGCTTTAAACTTTTTTAATCGTCGAACACAGCTGCTGCCAAGTCGTTCACGAGTAAGGCTGGGAGTACTTTAGTTTCAAAAATTACACTTCTCAATAAATAAAATTATTCAGTTATTTTTAGTAACTGAAATATGAACGTTGAGTTAATTATGCTTTTTAATCGACTAATTTTTTTTTTCATTTTAAATCAAATTTCAATTAATTAAATTATACAATAAAAAAATTCATTCAATTTTTCTATTTTTTTAGGTCAATTGGTATTTTTATTTATATTTCTAATTTATTCATATATAAATTATATAAATCAAAATAATTAATACATTTTTGTTTATTTACTATAAAAGTAGTTCACTCTCGATATAACTAAAAAAAAAGTATCGAATTATAGCAGTTTTTTTACTAGTGTTGTTATCGCAAAATTTTTTATTTTATTTTAAATTTTACACTGTTTCGTTAGAGTATACGTTTTTTAATAGTAGAGATGTTGCATGCATTTTAAATGTGTATGATTTAAATTTATGTGTCACAAAGTTGTGTCCCTCAAATTCCACGTCAGCTAAATAGGAAAGGGATTTTTAAAAATGATTGTCGTCGGAATATTTGCTGACTATTATTAATTCTAGTTCTATCATTGTTCTAACCTGAAGTTATTTTCCAAAGACTGATTAATCAATTTTAATATTTTTTTAGGAGAGCCAAGAGTAACGCTAAGTTTAAAGAATTTTAAGAAAAAAAATAAAATAAATTTCAAAAGTTTATTTTTTGCACTATATAAAAAAATGTTTTACCTTAATTACATCTTAACTTTTAATATATTTTATTTTGCTATCTTAAAATAATTTTTAATTGAATTGTTAAATTTTTGGAAATAGTCACGGAAATTAAATACTTATTATGAAAACATTTCTAACTTAAAAAGAAATCTGAAAAAATTGTATATTTTGTCCTAATTTTACAGCACAAACCAATTTTTAAAAAAACAGAAATAACAATAATTAAAAATGTTATAAATTTATTTAGTGTTATTGATTAAAATAAAATTGAAATCGGTAGCAAAGAGGGGCGTGGCACGTGAGAATATGACATAGTTGAGACAAATATAGATGATATCTGACAGTTATTAAAATCACATAATAAGAAATTTTATAAATAATTTTAATTTAAATAAATTGGTGGATTATTCCAAAAGCTTTACTATACTTTAATTCTATACTTTAATATATTTACAATTAAATAATATTAAGAATTTATTTAAATGTGATTTCACACTTGTCCCAGTACATTTATTTATCAGAGTTAGTGTACACAACCGGTTGTGTAGATCTTATAAATTGAGAATGTTATTAATTGGATTATTAATTCATCATTTATTTTTGCATAGAAATCTAATTAATAAAATAGTAGAAAAAAATATTATGTTGATTTGTTTATTTTTCAAAAAGTTATGGAAATTTTAAGAAAAAAAAGTGAAAAAAATGACAAAATTTACCGATTTTTAAATTTATAATTTTTTTGGATATTTCCCCCATTTTCGGGGAATGAGAGAATTTTTTTCAATTTTTAAGGGTAATGTCTCCAACTAGATACGATTGGTGATCTTTTGACGTACTTTTGAAAGAAATCGGTCCAGTGAGAGCTGAGAAAAAGTGGCAACAGACATAAAAAAAAAAACACATCATAGTAAAATTAATACCTTATCAGCTTCGCATCGAAGCTAATATATTTTGAGTATGAAAAAATCAGTAATCAAAAAAAAATATATTGATAAATATAATTTAAAAAACCCAGCACAGGGGGGTCGCGGCACAGTGGTGACGTGGCATAGTTGGATCAACTGTAATGATATCTGACAGTGATTAAAATCACTATCAAAAAAAAACGCTTCGATGCAAATCTTTAGATAGTGTTTAATTTTAAAAAATTGGTGGATTATTCCAAAAGCTTCATAAACTGCTAGTTCCTTATTAATATCCTGATTAAGATAAAGTATGTCGAATGAAAAAGGGATTATTAAAAAATAGTATTTCCCATAAAAAAATTATATTGATCAATACACTTTTCAATAAGTTATAGCATTATAAAGTTAAAAATGTAAAAAATAAAATTGAGAATTTTCACACAATAATAGCATTTGGTAGCCATTTTCACCCTGAAGACAAAATAAAGTCCGAAATTTTTTTTTTGCATAATAAAGTAGATTACATTAGCTTTAATTTAAGATATATATAAAAGTGTCAGACCTTCCGGAACATTTTCAAAATTTAAGTTAAAAAAATTAATTTTTTGTGAAAAAGTTGTCATTTTAAATCCCCCCTTGTGGGCAGGTTAAGGGTTAAATTTATGAAAAAAATATACCAAATGAAAGGTAATGATATTATGCATCTATATAAAAAAGAATTATATTGATATGTTTATTTTTGAAAAAGTTATGGCACTTTTAAGTAAAAAAAATTGAAAAAATTTCGAAAATTAGCGATTTTTAAATTTGTAATTTTTTTGGAGGTTTCCCCCATTTACGGGGAACGAGGGAATTTTTTTCAATTTTTGAGGGTAATGTCTTCGACTAGATACGATTTGTGATCTTTTGACGTATCATTGAAAGAAATCGGTTCGGTGAGAGCTGAGAAAAAGTGGTAACAGACACACAAAAAAAAAAAAAACACATCTTAGTAAAACCAATACCTTCTCAGCTTCGCATCGAAGCTAAAATATCTATTAATCAAAACAATTAAATTATATCCTCATGTAGAACAGTCCAATTACTTAAGTGATTAAAGAATATATAATAACATAGTTTAGTATGCAAAATCGCACATGTTTCTTTATTAGTGACATTTATATATTTTTTAATTTAATAAGCACTGGAAATTTTAATTTATTAGAACTATTTGTTTTGCCTGCGCCGTTCCTCTTTAGCAGTCGGCGACACTAAAGGGATTTATTAACTATTATTAAACTAAACAAAATTTATTTAACAATAACGCACAAATGATATTTATTATTACAAACAATATCAATTCATCTGGGGGGTAGTATAAATCTTTCGATACTTAAAACAGAATAGCTGAAACTAACGTATATAATGGCATAGGAATAGAATCCGAGCTTATTATTTTTTAGCAATTCGTCTAAGAGTATAAATAGTGGAAGCAAATTTCGTCTTCACGCGTTTACAAGAAAACCCTTGTTAAAATATTAATTTATACTAGTTTATGAATTCATGTGTATTCTATGAGGAGCGATCATAAACATAATACACAGAGGAACACAAAATGAAACTAAACTTTGCTAGAAGTTGCTAAAACGAACAACATTCAAATGTGGAGCGCATACTTGAGTTTTTTATCACGCAGAGCAATCGTATCTCAAGTGAGAAGAAAAAAAAGGAGCCAACGCCTAATGCGCTTGATTACTCCAAGTATATTAATATAAGAGGTAAATCGTTTGTACTATTCTTGTAAAATTTTCTTCGTACTTACCATTGAGACAAGAACCTGCCAGATCTCTGGCAGCTGATCAACTGATACAGAAGTCGGCTTAAAATCCCATTCACTTATTGGTTTCCTCAAAAACGCTGGACCATACCAATAGAACCCATGAATGGGGAGCTCTAACGGGTTTAATCCTCATTAGGTTCTAAATAACGATCATCCATAGCCAAACGACGCAACAACAAAAAACTGTTGTACATAAAAAACACTGAAGGGACTTTATCTAAGTTGATAGCATCGCAACATAACAACACGATACCTGATAAGCTACAATGGTACCAATTGACAATTTTTTTAGTTTCTTTAGGTTTACTCGAACATATTCCCTTTTGTAAGTTCCAGCTGGACTTACAATCATAAGAGTTTCAAAAGAGCTTCATATTGTCTGGTCTAATTTGTTTAAGCTGTGCTGAGTTGCTATTTCATGCATCAATAGATATTGGTGGGAGGGGTGAAATACATAACATATAATATATGTACAAGTACATCTTGCACTGTAAAAATTAATATAATGAACAATGAAACAGAGTTAATTTTAACAATAATAATTACATTATAATAGTTAGTATTATCAAATAATTAGGATTGACTTATATATATATATATATATTTTAAGATTAGTTTCAAACTAGATAATTAACAAAATATAAAATTATATTAATAATTAAAAACAAAAGAAATTATAACCAAATAAAAATATTATACTTTTAAAAAGTAGCGTCAACACCAAACACCAGACCAGAACAGATCAAAAAATAATTTCTGAGCCGATTGATAATAACATATAATGCTTCCAAACGTATCCAACGCCTAATGCGTGCAGTTACTCTAAACATATTAATATAAGATATATATACATAAAAATGTACAGACTAACTTTATAGATTTTATAAAATCGGAAAAATAAATGAATAAAATGTTTTTTTAATGTAAACATCTATTATGTATAAATATAATTTTATGTACACACATCCTTGTTTGTATATATATATATATAAGAATTCATTTGTAACTGTTTTCTTTTGTTGTTTTTTAATATTAAAAAAGTTTTAGCTCTTTTTATACGTGATACAAAACTTGCAGCTGATGCTGAGATAACAACCGACTATCTACTACACTAAAAATGATTTTTTCTTAAATATATAAATATAACATATCTGTATGCAATATAAAGAATATATTAATATATTTAATTGCGAATCATTTTTTTTTGTATTATTATATTATTTGTGTTATTTAATTATTATATATATTATTTGATTATTAGTTCTGATAATATTATTAGAATTTCCCTTATAGGCCCAACTAAAATGTTTCAGAATTTTCTAGCAAATTTTTAAAATTAATGTTACATTACACAAACTGATACCATCACATGTAAGTAACAGCTTAACAACACTGTTAGTTTGATTTTTTTATGAAGATTACGTTCTTTTTGTACAATATACATTTAATCATTGTTACACTTGCGCACAGTACTTTTTTTTAAATACTTGGTGATAGATTAAAAATAAAAATATTTTATGTAAATAATTTTTGTTCTTTGCAAATAACATTTTTTTTTTGTTTTTAAGTTATTACCTCAAAATCATACGTGCTAAAAAAATTTAATAACAGAATTTATCGAAAATAATAAGTGTCAAAAATAATCAACGACAAAAACTATGATTTTACAGGACTTTGTAATGATCTGTTCTTAATTACATAAAAAGTGTTAAACAGTTTTGTAATTTAAATAAATTTCGTTTGATCATGTAGAACAATAAGCAACTACATATGACTTTTAAATCGACACTTAATTAAAAAAATGTTCAGTACAAATCAGGTCTGCTTAAACTATACTCATACTAGGCCATTTAAAAGCAATCTATAAAATGTAGTAAAAAGTAGAATTTTAGTCGAGAAAATAAAATTTTATTTAATAATAAATATACTTTTATATCAATAACTTTTGAAATATTTGGCAATTTTGAAATCACTGTGTTGACAGTAATCATAGATAGCTCAAACTTCTGTAATCAATTATTATTTTATTTTCAATTTAATGTTATTATGATTTTATATGTGCAATAACTGTGAGGTGTTATTTTTAAGTAATTATATATTATATGTAATATTTAAATGAAATTAGTTTAATAATTTAATAATGGGAGATTAATGATGAGCGGCTTTGTAAAATGATGGGCCGATCAAAAGTTTTCTTTAAGCTAGCATAATGTGAAGTGACGTAATTTATGAAATAATTTGAAATGTCTGATAACGTTATGCATAGTATTTTTATGTATTAATTAAACCATTTTAAATTACTTATTTTTTTTTTTTTTTTAATAATTACCTCAAATTATATAGAATTAATACATTTTTTTAATTTTTTAATCAATTTGTTAGTTTAAAATTCTTAAGTTCATAATCCAGTTAAAATATTATAGCATCAAGTGGCTTATTACTTAAGTAATTTTTTTTCGACTTCATGGAATTTTTTTTATTAAAAAAAATATTTTTAAATAAAATAAAATTGAAAATAAACTAAAAACATTAAAATTTTGCTTATTTGTTATTCATTAATAAAAGCTAGACTGTGAAATATTCCTAATTTTGATTATGGTAACAATTAAATTTTGTTAGAAGCTATGAAGAAGATACGTTTTAAATAATTCATGCTTTGTAAATATTAACTTCTAAATATCTTCTTCTTCCTCACCTTAATCCTAACTACTCGGGGTCGGCCACCCTTATCCTAAACTTCCACTTGACACGATCTCCCACATCCTCTACGCTTACATCAGCTGTCCTTATATCACATTCAATAACATATCTCCATCTCTTTTTCGTCTTCCTCTACCTTTTCTTCCTTCAACATTCATTTCTACAAGTGTTCTTACGACTTTCGATTCTTCTCTCCTCATAACATGACCAAACCATCGAAGGCTATTTTCTTTCATCTTATCCACAATTGACGCTACACCTATATTCCCTCTTATATGCTCATTTCTTATTTACTAGTCACTTCACTCATCCATCTAAGTATTCTCATCTCTGCTACACTCATTCTCTGCTCTATTATCTTATCAACCGCCCAACACTCTGAACCATACATCATAGCTGGTCTCACTACATATTAACAAATATTAACTGGTCTCACAAATATTAACTTCTAAATATAAAATTAAAAATTAAAGTCATGATAAAATCCAGATTTGTCATACGATCATAGCTAGTATATGAATTTTATTAAGAATAGATTAAAGAAAAACAACATTTTATGACATAGACGATTTGGTTATTTGTTATGAGTAATGTTTTACAGGTAGAATTTAGGGGAGATTTTTTATTATTAAATAATGTATTTAAAATTGAAATATTTCCTAAATATATACATATATATACATGTATATTTTTGATGTAATAGTGTTTAGTATTAAGGAACAACTTTAATGGATTGTAAAAATTATTCAAATGAATGAGCAATACTTTTGCAAAAATAAACATTCTGAATATAATATTCAGCTGTTTTTATATTCAGACGATTACTATTTCTATAGTCTTTAGATTAATATATTACACAAGTAACCCTTTTAATAGCTTACATATAAATCTTAATCGTATAATTACATAAATTGCTTTTAAATTCAATTTATTTGAATACCGGAAAAGAAAAATGAAATTAGCCTACTTTCAATTAGTTCATCAAATCGTTAGCCATTAAAATCACATTGCGGTAAGAAGAAATCCTAACGTTAGGTATTTTTCAAAATGTCACTTCATATCAAACTTTTTATTCAGTAAACTGACAATTTTTGTTTATTCAACCTTTTAAAAACTAAAAGGTTCTTACTTTTAATAACATTTAGTTATAAACTACTATTCAAGTAATTTAAAATTATTTTCAAGATGATAGATAATCTTGGTTATAATTCTAAGTATATAGCTGAAAACTTTTATTCAATTTATAAACTTATAAAAACTTAAGCTTCTAGTCTTGTATTTAGCTAGTCATTTATATGTTTAGGGTTATCTGCGAATCATTACTATTGTATGTTATATTAATGTCTCATACCAGTTGAGGTTAAGTAAAAAATGTTTGACCTATCCACAAATAAAATCCACTATTAAGTTCACTTAATAGCGCCACTTTAATCTAAGTTCAAAAAAAGTATATTTATTTATTTTAAACCACACAATTTTTAGTAAAATTAAAAAATTAATTAAGTTCTATGTTTGAAGATCGAACTTAATGTTATAAGCGTAGCAATTAATTACATAGAATTCAAAACGTTCAAATGTTTCTTATGCTATTAATAAAAGTTTTCCGTTTTATTATGAAATCTGTACCATATTTCACTTTAGTTCGTTCCATTTCTGCGTAGGACAGAATTTATTCTGTTTTGTAAAATATTTGTAGCGTGCAACATATTTATTTTGAAAGGAGTAAAAAACATAGTTGCGAGGTAGAATTTTGTTGTATTTACAGTTTGTTTAATTTAATTAATTAATTTAAAAACTTCTGGTCAAGTATAGATTTATATTTTCTCAATCAAAACTATAATCAATATGAAGTTATATATGAATATATCTCAGGTTAAAAGTAAATTAGTTTTGTGAGGTTTGGATTAAGAATTAAAGTTTTAAGAATAGCGTCTAGGGATCGTTCCGAGATAAAACTCCATTACAAAAATTAACTTCTTAACAAATAAATATAATTTAATATAGGATCTGAAATTTCTTTAATATGAATAAAAAATTAGTATTTAGAATTTACATAAAAATAACTGAATTAATGTAGAGTATATTGTTCAAATTAATAACACAATTCCATTTTAATTAAAATATTTTATAATTTTTGATAATTGATGTATAAGTTATTTTTTGATTTATTCAATTGATATCTTCAACTACAAACAGCTTAACTTAAAAAAAAGGTTAAAATTTCAAGTTACCAAATAAATTTTTACAGTTAAGGATCTACTATTTCAAACATAATAAGACTTTTAAAAATATTATTTGTTAGTTACACATAAATATAAAAAAAATTCAGTTATAATTATTTAATTTTTTTTTTTTTTTTGGTACGTATAATATTCGACAAACTTTTTTTTATTCATTGTATCTATTAGGGCTTAAAGAGACAAAAAAAAATGACAAGAAGACATTTACCCCTATAGCATTTTGAGCGTTTTAGATATCTACACAATTATATATATTTCGAATGAATCTTATAGGGGACGCTTATCAACCATCGTTAGAGGTAGGGAGACTGAGTTCCCTTGGTCCCCATACACTTTAAGTACTTTATGTTTATACAGAACTTTAAACAATATATTTTGAGTATGAAAAAATCAGTAATCAAAAAAAAATATTTTGATAAATATAATTTAAAAAACCAATGGTTCTTTTTCTTGTTATTTGTCTTTATTGAAAATAAAAATAAAAAATAAAGTTTGAGTACTTGAAATAAAATCAATATATACGACTATTTATTATGCCGTTGAATGTTGGAATTTATATTATTTGTTTATTTATTTCATTTTGGCTAATAATCATGTAGTTAATTATATATAAATAGTATTGAAAGAAGGTTAAATTTTTATAAAGATTACCTAAAAGAATTATTTTATTTTAATGGCTGTGTTATTCGAAATACCAAAACAATAAAACGAAAAACTAGAGCAAATGGATACTAAGGTGTCCAATTAGTTAACAAGCACTTAGGTTTCAAACAAAATATGTAATATCAAAGTTATTCTATGGGAATATCTCTGTTGTTTAACTAACCAGTAACAATGTAATACACCTAACTAGAATTTCCAAGTATAGATAACAAGCTTATTGCTTGCTGTAAAACTTCAATAAAAATCTTAAACATTCAAC